CGAGTATCGGCCTCCTCTTGAGTGCTGAACAATTCACGACAGTCATTAACAGTAGTGTCTGACTTTCACAGTTACGGGATTTCCAAACGTTCCGGTTAAGTAAAGGTGACAATCAGATAGAATCATAGCGGGTTTGTCAAAGTTTTGAAGAATAAAACTACCAACGAAATTAGGGAGATTCTGTTTGTTTTCTTTATAAACAGACAGAAATTTCCTCAAGTCAGGAATACTTCTGCCTTCTATAACCCGATAGCTTTGGTGGAAGCTGCTGTCTTTGTATGGCGTTCCCTTTCAGCAGACTTTATAGTCTTTGTTTTTTATAACGTAGCGGTCAAAAACGTCTGCTATTTTGTGCACTAGAGCAAAGCATTGAGACAACTTTTTATGATAGTCAGCTGCAAGGTCACCGAATGTTTGATTTTTCTTAGCATCAATACATTGAACCAATGCCATACCATCAGTAAGTTGTGAGTGATGGGTCAAAGGAATATATATAAAGTGCAGAAGAGACTTCAGATTCGAAGTGCTTCACCAAATCAGGCTTGCATTATTTTCTCATGGTGCCGTCATCGTGAAAAAGGGAAACTAGAATGGGACCGACAAGGTGAGACAGCACATTTTCTATTGTAACATCATCTCTGTAGTTTGCCAAAACCAATGCATGTCTGAATACGAGTTCTGGATTTATGTGAACTGAGATTATTTCCCCCGATAAACATTTAAGGTCTGTTTTTTGAGGTCATATTTTCAAACATTTTTAATTTTGACTTTGATATTGGACTTTAAAACTCCTTGACTGACCTTCAGAAAGAGCACTAGTTATGAAATGTTTAGACTCACGCCTTCCTCGACAGCTGTGAGGCAAGATTCTTGAATATCACTTGTAGCATGCATTCGGTAGAAGAGATATTGCTAAGACACGGGAGATGGGATGCGACATCAAAGGGGTCATACGTATTTTGATTCAGATGGTTCACAATGGCAATAGCATGTTTTTCATCTCTTGTCATTGCTGTTGGTCTTGTTTTCTCAAGTGAATTTGCATTATTTGCGCAATACCAGTCCTTTCTAGCATGAAACCACTAAGTGATGATAGGAAATGTCTGGTAAATGTCCATATAACTAGTGCAGACTTTTGATTTGTTATACCTACAATGCCACCTGATCCCTTTGAGTTTTTTACAACGTTTTTTTCTGTTGCCATGTCGGTCCATATACCGTTAAAATGTCAAATGGCAAAGTCGCCACCTGGTAAAGCTGATCGAATCTTCTCTAAAAGTTGAAGCATATCGTGTATGTAAACTGGCATCCACCTAGAGTAATTGGTACGATTTGTTACAAAATAAATAAGGTAACATTTGAAATGACGAACTCAAATGAGGCGACAAATGGCCCTCTTGTTATGCTCTAACATTTGACAGCAAAATTTCTACAACTTCAAGAAACATATCCGAGTATGTGAATGTAGGTGATGCAACACATCCCCATTGCTTATATGTATCTATAAGAGGCTGTATACGAACTCAAAATAATTCCGTCAGATTAGACGCTACGCCTTGTAACTGGCTTGAATTGTTGGAAACACCAGTGAAACGCCAACAAAACATTCCAAAAAAACGTCTGTTGTTTTATCAAAGTGAACACCGATCTTACACCAGTGAATAAATGAAGACACAAGCATTTTTTTTATTGCTTCAAAAACTATTGTGAAACCCCTGACGATAAAATGCTTCCCAGTAAACATTTGTTCGGCTGTACTTCCAACATAAACACCCGAATCAACAAAAAAGTCTCGCAGACCTCCATCTGTTCATAACTTCCCTTATGCTGTTATGAAATGAATATGAGATTCAAAAATATCAGGACCATTTTACCTGCTGCGCAATCTCATAGAGCTGATGATCAAACGTTTGAATGGCATGTGCCTGGCATGCTTCATTCGAAATATCAATTCACTTCTCCATTGCAGTGAATACTGTAGACATATCAATGGGGTTAGCATATATTATTGGAGGATAAGTTACATCTGCAACATTGTTATTTTTTTCAGATAACCGACAACTAAAACCTGTTCATAAAGGAACTTTTTGTCCTGTTCCTTGGTTATCGACTGGAAAGTCTATAATATCCCTTGACATCGAATTTCCGGAAGAAAACCTATATGTATGATTAAGAGTGTATATGTTGTTTCGATGCACGAGTCGAAATAATGCTTCTAAGATAAATAAATGTGATATTGTTGTTTAATTAAAGGGGCATTAGCTGTCAAATTCTCATATTTGATTTATAACATACTAAAACGTATATAAAAATTACAAAAAGTCTAAAATAAACAATTAACAATGCATTGACTCGATAATATGTATCAACATTCCGTGTGTATTTTTGTCTAGACGTCATATAACTAACCATCGAGATGACCTCCAAAGACTGCCGACGGTCATATAACCCGATATAAACATAAACATAAACATAAACTGATAGCGACCACTTGCAATTGGATTGTTCTAGGTCTGTTTGATTCCATATTGTAGGTATGTTTATCGTCGTTTTTACCTGTGTTAGAATGTTTTCTTGTGAATCGAATCAGTCAACCAAATGATTCATCCTTGTTTCACTTTCAATGTTGACATTATTTTTCTTTTAATAGCTGAATACATGCGTAACCCAGCTCCAGCTAAGGGCTTAAATTAAAGGTCACACGAATACGGATTCAAGGGGTCGAATGATTCACTTGCAAGTGAATAGTTCATCAACAATGTTATTTATCTTATTTCGATAAAATTGAACTAAATTGGCTGCTAAAAGCAAATTAGTTTTTCACTATATCACTTCCATTAATGATTGAACAAAAAATAACAATTTTTGTATGTCTCGTAACTTATGTCCCTTTGAGGTATAACATATTATATTGATGTCGATTTTTTACATTTAGCGTAAAAACCAATTATGAAATTGAATTGAAACGTACTCTGCTAAATGCAAAATATTCGTAGTGTTAAACTTTTACAAAACTTTTCAAAAACGTATAAATTTGGTCAAATTTATTTGAAATTGTTAAAATAAGGTGTAGCAACAATTTATATAATGACAGAAAGCATATTACGAATGTTCTTTTAAAGTGCAGACCTAAAAACTTGCCAATGTCACTTTTTCTTCAAAGTAAGCTTAAGCCCCTTTTATAAAAAGTGCACCATACAATTTTTTGACAACAAGTCAAAATGTAAAGTTTAGTCTTTGAACTACAAATACTGTGATTTATAGTCCTATAATCCGAATGACTATTAAACTCTGTAAATATGCTAATTTTCCTCAATCGGTCACCGTACTACTAAGGAATTTAGTTCGTTTCGCCTTGTTTTTGTAGACTCAAAGGACCTGTCTTAACATTTGGTCTATTGTGGAGAGTTGTCTCATTGGCAATCATACCATATCTTAATTTTTTATTTGGATTTGTAATCAAACCCTTATTTTTTCAACCTTAAAATTGAATTTTCCATATAATTAACTTTTCTGGATTATGCATGTGTACAATCAATTCAGTGTAATTCAACAATTCGGAGCATACAATGAATGTTCTTCAAAAGGATTACTAATTTAAAGAAAACTGCATGTTTGATATCATTTTTTTCTGATTTTGGTCTCGACGAAACCGAAAATATATTGTTGCTAGGCACTTTTCTTATACGAATAAATGGTTGCATGGCAATTTTCCAATATAAATAAATGGTTGCTAGTCACTTTTACGCTATAAATAAATGGTGGCTAAGGACTAGTGTGATAACGTTCACCCCTGACCCTGGTCTATGTAATAATCCATACAGTCCTGAATCAAAACATATATCATAGTTACTAGGTTCTTTTGTATCAATTAAGGGTGGTTGCTCAGCACTTTTGACAAGACCTTGACTTCTTACTGTTGACCTGTGAACAAAACGGTGGCTTTAATCATCCTGAAAATTTTCCCCATGTATTGTTTGCCTCTTTCTATTATATTTTCTTACAAAATCCAATCAATATACGCAAGGTCAAGGTCATCTATGACCTTTGACCTTGGGTAAATTGAATGTCATTTAATGCTCAATAGTTTTCAAATCAAAGTCATTCAATAGTAATTACTGTTTTCGGGTAATCTTAATAACACGATCAAATTTCTGAGGAAAAAACAAAAATGACACATTTTGGTTTCCATAGCAACCATCCTAGCACACTGAATCCCAAATATGTTGTTGTAAATTATAGACTAGAAGCATTGATACTTTATATGTATTACCACAACTTAAATGGAGGTGGATGCAAAATTGTATATTTTGTTCATGCTAAATGTGTATAATTTGCTTTCACAAAAACAATGAAAAATTACCTCTGCTCCTGCGGTTGTGACAATAGTCGGCCAAATTTTATTTATATTTGACATTGCTGTTATGTTTGTTAAGTATTATGTTTCTGACAAATATTAACAAATATCATTAAATAAAATCGGTATTGCTTCAGAATGCCTGCAAAATGATATAAAAATAAAAACGGTTTGCCATACAACAAATGATAAAATCAAAAGTGAAAAGCAGAGTCCTGGTTAATGCTAAAACAAAACAATCATCCAATTTCGTTTCAGAACAATTTAGGACAAAATTAATTGCTACCTATTAAAACTGTATATCCAACTTAAATGTGGAAGTAATTTTGTTACGGCGAGATAATGAGGTTTTCTATATAGAACCACTTGTTTCCTGGTGCAAAATAAAGGTCTTTTCGTATTGGATATAACTTTGAAATGGACGACCAAGTTACTTTGTTTAATTAAAGGATCATTAGTAATTAAAAATTTGAAAACAATTTCTGTGTCTTCATAACACAAATCTATTACTAGATATAGCGTGTATTAGTTCAAGAAAAATGTGAAGGATTATATGATAGCCAAAAGGTCATAAACGTGTTAAATAGATTTGACAAGCTTACTGATTCTACGGCTATTATTGGAGGCATGACTAAATGTTAACTTTATTTTTTTTTTTTTTTTATTATTGGACGAATTGTATTGATTTTTTAACAATCTTTATGTAATTTTCAGAGTTGTAAGATTTCCGTTGACCATCAGCAGCGATGTTTGTATAAGCATGATTATCCACTCTTCATTTTAATTAATGTTGATTTCGTCAGTTTGTTTATAATAATCCAGTGTAAAATATTTGAATCATTATCTAAACATCAGTCCGTGTAAATGTTTTTCAACTGCATAGCGCGAACGTTTCAATGAATAATATGTATCTATTTTGTCAACTTTTAAAGTATTAAAACTGAGTGTTATAATTGTTTTAACGTATGCACATATATGATTTGTTTTATTTCATGACAATTATTATTGTTTAAACATGAGTCTCACTTGTCAAATTGTGTGCGTGACCTAGCAATGTATTTGATTCTTCTTTATCAGCATTTAGAACTGAAGGGGTAGTTTGTGACGCTTTTTCTTTTCTACTATTAAACCTTGAGCAAAACTTGTTCTTGAAATCACTTCTGAATCTATCACCAAACGTGAGATATATCACAATGTTAACAGCAAAGCTAAGGTAATAAATCGTTTCAAAAATGTATTTCAAAGATACCACCAACGGATCTATCTCTTCAAGGGCGACAAAGCTTGAAATTGCAAGATGTGTTCGAACAACATGACTTGGTAAACTGAGCAAAATGAATGCAAGTGACACAGAAAACAAGAGTTTTGTAACTTTACTTTGCGGGTTGCTCTGTCTTCTGTCTTTCTGTTGAGATTTTCCCGTAAGACGAGCTTGTTGTCTTCGAAGAAGTTCTAGTAAATTGTATGTAATTGGTATCATCAAAAATATTGTTATCAATGTTGGCAGTACAAGCGTTACAACGGTGTCAATATAATACAAGTACTGTAGTATGTAATTAAACTCCTGGATAGGCAAACACAGTGACATGCCAGAGGGAGCTATCTTGACAGTGAAAGTCCATAAAGTGAAATTGTAAATTATAAAGGAAATCAGTGTGAACAGAACAATTATAATCTTTGCCTTTCTAGTTGTGCAATATTTATTAACTTGAAACGGCATACAAATCCGAATGTAGTTTTCAAACGTTACTATCACAATAAACCACACAGACAAAAACGCACAAACATATGATAAGAATATTATAGACTGGCATAATCCGGGAGCTTTGAATGCATTTACTTGCATATCACCTAACCAAATGAAAAAGAGTGATATCAAAAAGCCTGTATCCGAGAGCGAACGTACCCCTAAATACAGACTGCATGATGTTTTCCTCTGAGATTTACTGAGGAAGATGGCTGCTGATAAAAAATTTCCTATGAATCCTGACAGACATATGACAGGCTTAGAATACTTCTGTATATCTCTTTCTATGTTCACTGTTCCGTAATAGTTTAGATATCCTGTTGTACTGTTTTCATATATTTCTGTCACATTCACGTGCATGTTGAAAATTTTTCTGATTTCCTGTAAATAATAAGAATATTATATTAATTTAAAGGGAAACACATGTTTAAAATCAAATAAAAGACGAGAAACCAAAAGTAAATAAATAAATTTGTATATAAATAGTTCACTGAATTAGATTATTTATCGAATTAAAATTTTGCGGGAGTGTGAATTAAATGCAAAATTATAACTGCGGTCTAACCTTATATTTGACAAGCAAGAGGTACATGTAACATTCAGGTCGGTATAAGTGTTGGCTTCAGACCGCTGTTGGAGAAATTTTACATGTAATGCATCCGGTTGATATGGGTGCTCCTTCTAATGTGGTTGGTTATAAAGCCTTAGGGGTAGTTCGGCAAATATATAAGTTTAATTTTATTCCGATAACCTTTGTGAGTACAATGGTATACAGAAAACATTTATAACAAAGTAACCCTCTGTTACAGCGATGGTGAAACATGAGATTTTCATAGAAACATTTAAACATGTGCCGGACTGTCTTTAAAAATAAATATAAAGAACAAAGTAATAATTTCACGAAATGATGTTCCCTTTTCACATTAAATTAGAATAACTTGCTTTCATGTATAACAACTGTTAATTTAGAGGCATATCTTTCACAATCGTCTGTGTTTTAAGTGTTTGGTAGTCAAATCTTGTTTCAACACGCAAAATCCATTTCTGCTGCGATGATTTAGATTCATGTGTTGTTCTTTCGTACTGTTGTTACATATTTTGTTGATGCGTAATAACCGAAGTACATGCATCTTGTACTTTTTCGTTAACGGAATAAACTTATATAATTGAACAAACTGGATTATAGATCTAACCAGCACATATACGTGTATTGTTGTCTTTTCATATATTGAAAATAAAATATTTTAGAATTGATGCGTTTTTGTAATTGTATTGTGCTTTTCGCTTCAAATGAAAAAAACGAAAAGAAACTAGCTCGATTTAAACAAAACAAGTTGGACGGATGTTTTACTGAATTACTTCATTTATGCATGTTTATTTTGAAAGTTGAAACTATACAGTTTGAATGAAATTAATACACATATCTACATGTCCAGATTAATAAAAAAATATATATTAAGTGATGCCCCCGCACTCCACTCTGAAGTAACTGTATTATAACAAAGTAGATGTAGGACTTTCTTTGAGATGTTATTGTGTCTGGGAGACACAAATGATGCCCCCGCAGATGCAAAGTGTTATTCTAAAACACACAAAGATGAGCATGGGAGCACATAGGTCTATGGTTCACTGTAGGAGGAGTTATCCGGAAACGCTATGCACCTCTTATGCAAGTATATACTCCAAAAATGACAAAGTTCAACTATCTCCCAAAAGAGCAAATATTAATAAAAATCAAAACCCTGACCACATGCACATCTTCAATGTATGTACAAATAGCCAGCAAAGTGAAAACTTCCTAGTATTCAAACTGTAGGAGGAGTTATCTGGAATAGCTATGCACCTCTTATGCAAGTATATACTAAAAATGTACAAAGTTCAACTATCTCCCAAAAGAGCAAATATCAATAAAAATCAAAACCCTGACCACATGAACACCTTCAATATATGTACAAACAGCCAGTAAAGTGAAAACTCCCTAGCATTCAAACGGTAGGAGGAGTTGTGTGGAATAGCAATATACCCATAATGGGACGGACGGACGGACAGGGGTAAAACAGCCCCAGCTTAGTTGCGGGGGCATAACCAAAAACGTAATAAATATATTATATTACGTTCATTGTTGATAATATCTGTATATTTATCCTTATAGTTAAGGTGATTCATAAAGACAAACATATACAATAAAGTTAATGGCATGGTCCCTTAAAAACACTTCTTCTGGCATTTTGACAAATGTTATTCCATACATCATTATCAGAGCTAAAGTAATGAACAAATACAATTGCCGTTATGTTTATCAAGGGATGAATTAAAAGTGAATGGTCTTATTGTTTGAATATCTGAAACTTCATTTTAGATTAATAATGTGCTATATATTTCATTTTATGTCACCATATTGCGAAACAAAACAACAATAAAAGATGAAAAATTATCGTAAATTTACTAACAAAAAAGATAACAAGTTACCTTTTGTCGCGTTCAGGTTTGAACTATGATATTTGTTTAAAAATATGTTTTATGAGTAGAGTGGATAAAGGAGAATAGGTTTTACATACAATAGACGACAAAAACCAAACAAAACAAATAGATATGTATAGTCATACAGTCTCATTGATGGACACATCGTATGGCCAAGCTCCTGGGACCTGGTTTTCGAAAGTCACAAGATATAACTTAGGGCAAATGTTATGACCATCTTATGACTATCATATGATATGTCTTAGAAAGTAATTCAAAGCTGTTCTTACATAGTCATACTTATGATGCTCTTATGACTGTCATAGATGAACATAATTTCTTTTGTTTTAAATAATCATTATGGATAAAAAATGATAAAAATAATAAGTATGAAATTAATAATTATTACCATTCTTATTATTTACGAATATTATATGAAATTATATATGAAAAGGAATTAAAATCTGTGTTGATAATTTGTTTAAATTATGTTTGTACATGTATGTATATAATAAAGTTCCAGAACTTCGCGTTCATGTATATTATATATGATGTGTTATATAATTGTGAATAATTTTAAGATTTGGTACATCGAGTATCCGCTCAACGAAATGCCCGTGCAAATACGTTAATAGATTACTATTTAAGGAAATAAATAATATATATTTGTATATTATACATAATCATGAATAAGACGAGGAGTCCAAATTTCACGTCGCTAGAGATTCAAATCTTAATTGACGAAATAGAGAAGAATAAATCTTAACTATTTAGCAGACTGATCAAAACACAGTGCCAAAAAGAAAGCATATGAGGCTGCATGTGCAAAGATAAATGAAGTTAATGACGCCTTAGAACAGTGGAAGAGATTCAAAACAGTTGTTCATCCTCTATTTGAACTTTTATGAGAAAGTGTGTACCATCAATGGCACTGACTATGCATTTGGAAAGTATGTTTGTTTATAAAAACCTTTATTAATACTGTACAGTCCATCCTGGTCAGTTGGCATCTTTATATAGTTCTTACAAATCCTCTTTTAAAAATGGGGTAACATCACGTGTTATTTTGGATACTCTTGGCCTAGATATGTTATGATCATCGGCATTCACCATCTGAAAGCTTCCAGTGGTATAAAACCTGAGTGCTACCATGATTTGAAATGATAATGAAAAAGCACGAGATCTTGCTGTTGGCCTTGCTGGATCATTTTGAAACATTCTACACAATTCAAGTATCAGTGGGCGTGAAAGTCTATATTTGCATACTATTTGCTCATCATCCATATAATCTAGTGTGTTATTTCTTTCTCGGTAAACCCTATCTCGGCGTACGTTTTCAGCTCGTTGTCGAATGTGCATGTAAACATCAGCCATATTCTTTTCTCACGTGATGTCGTAACTTTTATGATGGTCATAAGACCGTCATAGGTCATGTCGCGAGGTGTCTTAAGTTTATGATAAACGTTATGACATATCGTAACTTTGGACGCTTTCGAAAACATATGCGACTATGACATGTCCTAAGACCATAGTAAGACATGTCTTAGTCATATAAAGATACTTTTGAAAACCAGGCCCCAGACTTAGAACAGACACAGGTATCAGGGTTTAATTATTTTTTTAGATCTGAAACCTCCCCTTTTTTTCCTCTGGATTAGTGGACTAACCTAATGAATAAAATAACATACAATAAAACGCAATACACAAAAACATTTAACTAGTAGAATAAATAACAGGATTTAAAACTCCAGCACTAACAAAACACTAGTAAACGATACCGTACATATGTAACTTATACATTTCCAAAGATATAGCAAATTAAAAAAAAAAAGAGTTATAAATGGATACATGTAGCATGTACCTTATGCTTATTTTACATATGTATTTATTAATGCGGTAATGGACGTGTTCATATTTTCTCTAAAGAACATTTTATGTAGTAGGAATAAAAATAATAGCATTTGTAGAACTTCCGTCAAACTACGCCATTATAGACTTTTAAATACGAACTTTTTGTGAACCTCCAATAATGAACGGAATACTATAAAGTAAGTTATGTTACAGTAACGTGACATGTGATCGTATAATGGAGAGCGTATTTAATCCATTTCAAAACTGAAGACTTTTAATCAATGAAACTAGGAAAAGACTCAGGATGTACGAAATTATAAACAAATACGCTTTATATTCATTAAATATCTCGGAGGTTGCAGCTCCAAACTACGTCTATTAACACGTCAATAGAAGAAATCGTTTCAACTTATTGTCAAACTTAACATTTAACAATAAATACATTATGCTTAAATATAATTAATTTTTAACACAAAGTACAAATCGGCTGACAAATCACTCACAGGAGCATATCTGTCAACATTTCAAAACCATAACAATGAAACTTATTACAAACATTGAATCTGATGCATTAAATAAAATAAAGAGAATAGGCAAATCTAATGATGCAAATTCATGTCGATGCACTTTAGTTTCTAACAGCAGCATTTTACCGATACTAAAAACAAACCACTACACAAATGCTGCTGACAGCTGATGACGCTCTATTTTGTTTTAATTGCTTTGGGATAATCTTGTATAAGGACATCGAACTTGAAAGTTTGAAAAATATTTATCATTGCTATCTCTTGCAATCTCTTGAGAACCGGAAATTGAACATCTATTTTCTACTATGTATTTTTTAAGAAATTTTTCAAACTATAGCTTCTAGCCTGCACTATAATGCATGCTTACTTAATCGTCAGATAAACTCTAGTTTGGGTTTGCAATATGACGGTAGATGCTCGTGTATGTTGATGCTGTTATGGGTTTTGCTTTCTTTTGGTCTGTCCTCTTTTGTTTTGTTTTGGTTTGTCCTCTTTTGTTTTGTTTTGGTCTGTCTTCTTTTGTTTTGTTTTGGTCTCGTTTTT